TTTAACTTTACGGTTACATGCCTACTGGAATTTTCTCTGATCAAATTTGCAAGGTAAAGTAACTCTATATCTTCACCCAAGACTTGGAAAAAAATTAATCTAAAACAGGCTCTTCTAAAAAAACCATGGTTTGTCTCATTATGCCAGTAAAATCTGAAAGCTTCAAGAAATTTGAGTTGATGCACTGCCATGAAGCCACATGGTTGGCAAATATTTTCCTAGCTGCCTTTAACCATGCACAATGGCTGAAAGAAGGGCACTAAAATTATTTGATGCCAGAAGTCCAGATGAAGGATAAAATCAAGGAAAGTAGGTGTGCCGGGAGAATTGTGGTATAGTTTCATAAAGGGCAAGACAGGTCAGGCCAATTTAGAAGCAAGCTGCCTATTTAAACTCCAACCCAAACTCTCAGGTGACTATAATTTCATCATTGGTATAAAGTTTTTAACTAAAGCTCCTGTATAGAGTATTCTTTTTCACAAACACTAAGAGTCCGCTTGATTGCAAATGTGGAAAATGGGTGGAAATAAAATATTTTACAGGGAATTGATTTGCTTAAAAATTGTTTTACTGAGAATTATAATTAATTATGTTTGATTGGTATAATTTTCTATTGAAAATGTTGAAAGTTTGATATCCGTTTGGTTTCGTTTTTTATGAAAATTGTCCATTAAAGTGATAATATTTTCTGCCATTGGATCTAGATTTTGTTCCAATTGCCACAAAAGAAAATTTGAAAAAAAAAAATCATACCGAATACTATTCGTTTGGCTTTATTTTGCTTGGAAATTGTCAATAAAAGTGAAATTTTTTTACTATTGTGTAGAATTTTTTCCAAAACGTTAAGAATTTATTTTTCTCAAAAATTTGGAAAGTTGGAAAATATTTTCCCGGGAAAATTTTGCTTATCAAACACCACAACAGTTGGAAAATGGCATGGAAAATGTGTGCTATCCAACGGGGCCTAATCTCTAATCCAGAAGTTCCTTCCAGGCAGGTTAAATTGTTTAATAGATTGTTTTATGCATTGTTCAGGTGCACAAATAATAGCACTCCTCTCAATTTGAGCATGTTTATGAATGCTTAAACTTCTACGATCTAAACCCAAATCGCTATCAAGCATACCCTATACGCTGAGGAAATAATATTTGTTAAAAATAAATTTAATTTAAATGCAAACTGCAGCATATCCCTAAAATTAGTCAAGAATACAAAAACATGAAACACTTATAATATTTTCAGATTTCCGCTAATCGCTTTTCACAGTTAAACCTAACAATGGCATTTCCTTTCCCCATAAGTATGACAAACAGGGGCCAGTTACATAAATACGTACCGAGCCAGAACGACACAGGTAGACATTATCAGTCAACTTGGTGATTTTGTCCGACGCCCTGTTCGCCACATACATTCCTGCAAAATAAAAATCCAAAACCTTACAATAACACAAAAATGCAAAACTTAATAAAAAATCATATTTAAACATGGATTTACCAGTGCTGGTTCGAGAGTCGGCGCCAAGAACAACGCCGCCGTTGTAGGTGACACCGATGATAGTAGTTCCCATCGAGTGTGGAGCATTGAGATCGCCTGCGCTCACGTCCATAATGTTGTCCTGTGTGGATCGATCGATGGATCGAACTAAAATTCGAGTAATTTAGCAGAGGAAGACCTTGAATGGGAAGGGGAAAACTAAGCAGCAGAGATTAAAAACAAAGTTTTCGTGCCGAAGAAGAGAGAGGTGAAAAAAATGTAAGAGTTTACAGGTTGGTACCCCAAACTCTGATAAATGTTGATTTTGGCCCGAACAAAAGTTAAAAACTTTTAAATTGCAGTCAATTACTTTTGGGTGAATTGCATATTGCCTCATCGAACTATATTTAGCTCTTGTTTGGTTTGAATTAAAATCCAATTAAAATTTCAAGTTAAAATCAACAATTAATTTTAATCATATATTTTTATAAGACTAGCAACTTTTCAACCACACATTTCATCAACTTTTATCAAAATTTACAAAAAAATCTAATTTTAATTTCTACCAAACAGGGGCTTAATAATTTATTGCCAAAATGTGGAATTATAAACTTCGACTCCTTTGAGCTTTGACTAATTGTCAAAATCCATAATTAAATTTGTTTCCACATAATGCACTTAAAGAAAATCTGAATAATCATTTTTTTGTGTTGGTTAAGGATAAAATTTCACATCTTTAAAATAAAATAACAATTTCATATACTAGGTTTGATCCAAGGTAAAATGACTCAAACAAGCCATTCTAGCCATGTTTGAAAAAAGAGCGATTCAAAAAAACTAGTAAAACTTGGAAAAGACACAAACATGTCGATTTAGTCATGGTGCGTCAAAGAATTTCAGAGCGATTAGTAGAGCCTAAGAAAAAGTTAATGCAAAATCCTTTGATTTGGGGCGAAGGGATAAAAAAACGTAACAACTATTCGTAGAACTCACATTTGAAATCCACTTATAAGAGGAGGATGTCCAAAGTACTCCATTGTTATGTTCTATTGGAAGAAGTCCTCTTTGGATTGCCCATCCACAACTAAGGTCCTCTAAGATGGAATGCATACCAATTATAACAATCAATTTGACCCAAGGCTTATAAACCATGTAATCATTTCATGTGTAACTTGGGATGTAATTATATATTACACCTTCCGAATTTTTATGCCAAATTGTATTCTTGGGTTGTCCATTGACCTTAGATGGACGTGCTCTAAAGATAAAATCATCCTCCCAAAGAATAATGCTATTCATAAATGAACAACCTAGGTCATAATGGACTGCTTGATTAATGCACAATCGGTGAATAGGATTGCTCGGCTTCAAATGTTCAAAGTCACCTAATCTACATCTGAAGAAGAGAAGCACGACTTATTCTCGACCGAGATCAAGAATAAAAAACAAAGGTAGGTAGATATTCTTCATCCTTGTTGGGTAGGAAGACAAGGGGTCAATTGATCGTCGAAATAATGTAACAAGAAAATAAAATAGGAATTTGCAAGCACATTACTGAAGCAGCTTCTTTTGTACATCTGAATAAGTAACTAACTACAGGCACAATCTATCCGTTTGATTCTTAGATTTTGAAACAAATATTATAGGAGTTTCTTGTTGAACCTGGTCTGATCATGTGCTGAAAAGTTATGTTAGTAGCTTGGTATCTCCAATCTATTCAATTTTCTATTAGTATTGTATCCTTTGCTTTAATGGCTACTTGTGCTTTCATAACTGAGGATCACTAGCCTGCAAAAAGTTGTTAAAACAGCTCATTATGGGTTCATAGATTATCGAACAAGGTCTTTATCTGAATTAGATAGTCATATACTTCTTATTGGGATGCAGTCATCGATTCTTCCTAGAGTTCACAGTTGACACGGACAAACAGATTAATGAAAATTCATGGACGAGCATTATATATTTTGAAGAATCTTGTTTGGTTTTATACGTTTCTCATTGCTATTCACAGTGGCCACATGAATAGAGGTTTGTTCCTTGGAGAGAGAATGAAATAAACATTCTTTTTCAAAATTATATAACAAGTACTTCTTTTTTCTTTTTTGGTTAAAACCCCCCGCTATTGCCTCTTTTCCCTCATTTCCCATGCTCTTCTTTCCCCAATTTATATTTACTTGGGACCTGTTGAGGGGCTCTCAGGGTTCCGGGTAAGGAGAGAGGTTGGTGAAGGCCATTTTTTGTAAGACTAAAATTGACTCTTGAGCACAAAAGAAAGCATTTTAAACGAAAAACTATATGTGGGCTTTTTCAACTATGATTGTGGAAAAATGACTTCGAAAAAAAAAAATTCCCAAATAATAGAACATAAAAAATGGAGTTATTCTGTCGATTTGTTTAGTTTCTCGAGCATGATGCAGCTTATTTACATGATCAACTCACTTGAGAACTACAATGGCTTTGTTGGGTTGGTCCGTGGACTATTCCTCATTGTGATATTTGGCATTGTTTCTTCAGCGAGTGCTTTCAACCTGTTAAGTTCAGGAAGTACCACATTGCCAAGATCTGGTCTATCTTTGCGTCTCAATTCTGTGCACTTAAGAGCTACCTTGGCAAACTTCAAGGCCTCTTCTACAGGCCAATCAGGAACTGCTGGATCGAGCGCATCAGCAAAGGTCCCTTTCTCAATAGCCCTCTCAACATGATGTGTTAATCCCATTGGTGGCTTGGCTGTTATTATTTGAAGAAGCACAACTCCAAGGGAATAAACGTCAGACTTTATTCCAAGCATTCCAGTTTGTTGATATTCAGGGTCTATGTAACAGAAAGTTCCAGCTGCAGATGTCATATGATATTGTGTAACAGCATCAGCAACATTAGGAGGGACAAGCCTGGCTAGGCCAACATCACTAATCTTGCTTACGAAGTTACTGTCAAGCAAAATGTTGCCTGGTTTCAGATCTCTGTGTACTAGAGGTTCTGGTTTGGCCTGATGGAGGAAAAGTAGGCTAGTACCAATTTCTGCAGCTATTCGGAATCTGAGTTGCCATGGAAGCACCTGAGTCTTTTCACGTCGTCGGAAGAGACAATCATCTAAGCTCCCATTGGCCATGTATTCATAGACTAGGCAACCATACTCGGGACATGCTCCAAGGAGTAGAACCATGTTGGGATGTCGAATGGTACTCAGAACTTCAACCTGCATCATGGTGTTCAGAAAGAAGGCAAGAAATTTTAAGCAATATATTTGCCAAATACAAAAAAGGCCCATAGTTCACAGGCTCATGTTACCAAGAGAGAAGGTGGTAACTTTCCAAGTTCAATTGAATGTTAAGTAGCATCATACCTCTTGCTGAAACTGTGATCTTCCTTGGGCTGCATCAGGACGTAGAACCTTTACAGCTACCTGTGTATGATCAAGGTAACACTTGTAGACTGGTCCATATCCACCTTCCCCAATTTTACGAGATTCTGAGAAGTAGTCTGTTGCTGCTTCAATCTCTTCTATTGAGTATTTGCGATACCTCACATCACTGTGGACCATCTTATCGAGTGTTTTCCTCCTCTCTTCTGATTCTTTGAGAGCTTTCATTTCAACATTGATTCTTTTCCGTGCCTCAAGTTCAGCTATCCTCTGTGCTGCTTCGGCTTTCTCAAGAGCAGCCCTGCATTTTGCTTTCTCTTTCTCTGCAATTGCCAATGCTGCTTCCTCAGCCAATTGTGCTTCTTCTAGTCTCTGCTGTTCTTCTACTTTCCAGCGGTGGAGTTCCAGTGCCTATGAAAGATTTTATTATCGAACTTACGATTATTCTCAAGGCATGACAAATACATTTTATGAACATTCCTTTTGTTATTTCATTATTTAGACTTCAATAGGAATTCAATCTCAAAAAATTCAAAGCATTACTTTCTGTTTTGCTGTAAATGCTTCCTTGCAGGCTGAGCTATACATCTCCATTGTCTGTTTAAGCTCCTGCTTCAGCCTTCTCATCTCTGCTTCTACTTCATCCTACACAGTCGAGACAATACATTTACATGAGGGTTCTGCATTTCATTCAATGTTGTCAAATGAAAAAGTTACAAAAATTTCCTCTTGATTACCTTTCAAGAATCCATTTTAGTTTATAAGAAAATCTTATATACAAGACAAAGCTTATTATTTATTCTAACATGTAACAAATGCAGCAGGAAACGACTGCTGTAATGACCAACATATATCAAACTGACAATGTATGCTAACAACATGTATAAAGAGACATCTTATGCATTGTAGTTGGACTGGGGAATGGCCCCATAATTAACAATGTTGTCAATGAAGCTCTAGAGACTTCCACAATTGCAGATGTTACCAGTGAACTTCATGTTTTCATATCCTTTCTTTGATCAACAATTTTAATTTCATGAATTTCTTATTTGGTAGTTTTATGTGCATACCAGGTTTTGGGATCCTGACCACGAAAATTTGCCACTTTCCAGAGAGCCGGGTGAAAAAACTCCAAAACTGCCAGTCATGTCAGATGACCGGGATCCAGAAGACGGAGATCCAAAACTTAATCGACTATCTGTTTCAGTGCTGTTGGATAGACGAGGAACAATATTTGTTTCCTGGCTGTCAACTGAGGCGATTGTACGATCCGTGCTTGGCCTTCCAGAGTTCACAAATGATATATCAATATCTGGTACTGACAGCTCACTGTATGATCTATTTGAAACTTTAACTCTAGTAAATGGTGACCTGTGAGTAAAGGTATTTTCAAGATATTCATTATTTTCATTCACTCCAAACATATATGCAGTAATAGGTAACCACTGCACAGACCAACACGCAAAACTCAAATCTTCTTCTTCCTTACTCTTTTCATGTGCTGTCCAATCCAGTATGCCAAACATGCTATTCGTTTCTAAATTTTCTTTGTTCTGTATACATATCGATTGTTTACAAACAACCAAATAACCATTTAAATGCTAAGCATGTTTGTGATGAATGCACTACATATATATGCTTTCAACTTCAGTTCAAGGATACATTTTTCTGGTTTTTTATGACTTTGTAAACAGAATGCAGTCCATGTTAATAACAAAACTATTTCTGTTTATGTAACTACCATGAGCTTACTTGATTAAATCCTTGTCATCCACTGCATTTACAGGTGAAAATGGCGCCTTATCGATGTAATTACCTGTTGAGACAGGACAATTTAGCTTTTCGTAGTAATGTAAAAACTGTATAAGAATGTGAAAAACAATAAATCTACAAATACATGTTTCGTATAAAATATTGGATAGGACTGGACTGGACTTTCTAATCAATGAAAGTTAAACCCCATTTTTTCTTTAATGCTATTCAGTCATATCAAATACAGCATACTAAACATGCTTCAAATGCAGACCTCGTGTACTGCTTTGCAATAGACGTGAATCAGTTGAAGTGAGAGGAAGGCTAGTTTGATTCTGCAATGGACGAGGAGGTTGGTTGGGGAGTGCAATCGAGGCAGATCTCACGTATGATATTTTCCCTTTAGATATCACATATACACTGCAAAACTCTGGTGCCCCCTTGGAAACACTGCTTGGAACATCAATACTCCTGAATCTTTTGGGTTTAAGAATTATAAGTAATATTTCCAATTTATATTAATGAATTGAAACAGATAAATGTGTACCTCGCAAAGCTACTCCTTGTCGGGGCACCCAACACCAAAGTCTCGAGCAAGGTGCTTTTAACGTAGTCACAAAGGGCCCTTGCTATGTCTGTATCTTCCAATACAATTTCAGTAACACGTATCTGTTTCCATTTTAACAAAGAATTTTATAGTTAGTATTATAAGGGTATGGTTGATACAACGGAGATAACACGAGAGGACATGATAGTTGATAAACGATTTACATTTCTCTCTTTCTTATTTTTGGTCAGTTTTGTCCACTCCAGCATATACTACTCATGAACATGCATCCATTTCTTCTATCATATGACTAATTTTTTCTCTTTTACAGGTTGATGAAAGAATTAGACATTTAATTGATAACACTAAAGAGCAAAGCTTTGAGGAAAGGAGTAGTGTTGAGCCAAAGTTTCCATCTAAAAAAAGTAGCTGAGGTGGTTCAAGTTTCATTGCAATCTATTTAAGAAAATTGTGCATTTGAAGAGACTCATTACTAAATTTAAATAAATAATGTCTTCTCCCTAGCTGCTGAAGTTTTAAGATAAAGTGGTTCAACCGGTAGTTCTTACATTCTTACGGGTGCAAAAGCAACGAAAGGGAAGAAACATCTCCTTGGTTATACTGTCGGTTGGACCTTTATATTCATTGTCACAGAAAGAAGCTTGACTTCCCACTGAAACCACAAGCAAAATCAGAGGAAACGTCCATGAGATTTAAGGGGGATATTTCTGTATAAAGTTGGAAGTGCAAGTTCAAAACATCCAATGCAATGGCAGATCATGCAGAAAAGTATTTTCCACAATTGATTATCAAATGCATAGTCCATCATGTAGAAACAGAACTCACATTTTGAATTTTCATGAGCCTTGATGTTACATTAGGCTCCAAATCCCCACCCCCCACGGCACCCACGCAGCAAAAAATTTAAGTATGAGAGATTTATAGAAAGCAAAGCTTTCTCGTACCTTTCCTATCCCAATCTTATTTTTCGTCTATGAATAAAATATCAGACGTGTACACAAATGTAATGTTCATTGTTGGAGTTTATCTCCAATCTTAACATGCTAATGATACATTGACAGTTCGTTTTGACTGGGTTTCAAACTTTCTTGCATGAACAAATATGGTGTTCCCCGCATTGAGAATGTAACAAATCCATCTCAAATCACCCTAGGGGACCCCACACGATCAAGTTAGACAATGATCGATTACTAATTTAAAAGAAAAAGAGAGAAAGAAGATTACATGCAGTTGCAACAGATGTCTTCTGTTTGACATGGAGAAGGGTAACGCGTTTACCCTTGCTGAGAAGATTATCAACAGCCCATTTCAATGCTGCTTGGCTCCCTTTGTCCTTGTCAATTGCCACTGCAACCATTTCTTCCTTTTTATCTCCATTGTTCCCCTTTTGGCTCATAATTTCTTACTGGTTTTGAATCAATATTCAAAAGCCAAAACCAACCACCTCTTTGAATACAATTGATCTTGGGACCTCAAAGAGATCGTTAGAAAATTATTTTATTTTTTCCTCCCCAAGTGTCTGAGAATTTTGTGTTTTTGTTGTAACGAGATTTGTTTAGTTTTTAACAAATTTATGAGATTCTTGTTATTCCTGATAAGATGGATTTTATACAGACCATCCAATCATTTTTGTCTCTCATTTTCTTCCTGCCTTTGCGGGATTCATAACTTGTCAAACTTCTTGTGATGTATTCATTAAATTTCTTAGCATCGTTGTCCTTGTTAAATTATAATTCATTTTTCTCTCTTTTATAAACCACATTCTCCAATAAAATAATATTACATATAAATCCAAAAATTTTTCCTTTATTTTTAACCATACATTCTTCAAAAAATTACATTTCCTTTCATTATAATGTGAAATAATGGGGGGCCAAATGTGCGCGTAATACTTAAGAAATATAAAGATTTTTTTATTTTTAGGATAAAAGAATCCAATCTTACCATAATTATAATTTCTTTTTATAAACTAATATATAATTATAGAAACCTATTTAACATTAATTTAAACTCTAATCATATGTTAACTTATTGTAGTATAAGGATTAAAGTTTGAAATTGGAAAAATTCTTTTGTTGCATCACGGTATTATGTTACTTCTTACTTGAAACCCACAATGTCCATAACAAGGTGCAAATCTTAATTCATTCAAATATTTTGATCAAAAGTTTTCGTGGAGTTTCCTAAAGATTTCGGAGTTTGGATAAATTTTAGAAACCTTTTGAAGTTTTCGAGATGTGCTCGAAACAGATAAGAGTACTTTTTAGAAAATTACGTGCATTCTAATACACGACAATTAATCAGCAAAAATACACGACTTTTTAGCTATAACTTTTTCGCTTTTGATCAAACTTCAAAGTTCAAATTGGATATTTAAAGAAGGGTGGTTAAGGATGGCAACGGGGCGGGGCCGGGGACAATAAAATATATTATTTAGAGCCTGTTTGGTACAGATTCTCATTTTCTACAGTAAATCAATTCTCATTTTCAACCACACATTCTTCAATAAAATAATATTTTCCATCACATCAATACTTTTTTCTTTTTTTTCAACCACACATTTCCCATCATATCACTATTCAAAAATCAATTCTTCCCCCAAAAATCTCTACCAAACACACTCTTAAATTTCTTAGCATCGTTGTCCTTGTTAAATTATAATTCATTTTTCTCTCTTTTATAAACCACATTCTCCAATAAAATAATATTACATGTAAATCCAAAAAATTTTCCTTTATTTTTAACCATACATTCTTCAAAAAATTACATTTCCTTTCATTATAATGTGAAATAATGGGGGGCCAAATGTGCGCGTAATACTTACGAAATATAAAGATTTTTTTATTTTTAGGATAAAAGAATCCAATCTTACCATAATTATAATTTCTTTTTACAAACTAATATATAATTATAGAAACCTATTTAACATTAATTTAAACTCTAATCACATGTTAATTTATTGTAGTATAAGGATTAAAGTTTAAAATTGGAAAAATTCTTTTGTTGCATCACGATATTGTGTTACTTCTTACTTGAAACCCACAATGTCCATAACAAGGTGCAAATCTTAATTCATTCAAATATTTTGATCAAAAGTTTTCGTGGAGTTTCCTAAAGATTTCCGAGTTTGGATAAATTTTAGAAACCTTTTGAAGTTTTCGAGATGTGCTCGAAACAGATAAGAGTACTTTTTAGAAAATTACGTGCATTCTAATACACGACAATTAATCAGCAAAAATACACGACTTCTTAGCTATAACTTTATCGCTTTTGATCAAACTTCAAAGTTCAAATTGGATATTTCAAGAATTACACTTGAGGAATGCTCGGTTCTAAAGGTTCAAAAGATACTGCCGTGAAAACCCTTGTTGGGTAAGGAAGATTACCATCAAGAAACAGAATTTTTGGAAAAAAATAAATAAATAAATTCCAAAGAGCTGGAGAAAGAGATTTGCGACAAGGCGTGGATCGGCCCCTTTCCATGCCACTGCAATTGATAATAGTAACTCAGCATATATGCAATTTCATTATTGATAACTGCGCCTTGAAATACAATCGACTTTATAATAAAACACAATATATATATACACACACACATACATACACACGTACTTTTTCTTGTTTTATTTGGCTTTTACTTTCTTTAATTGTTTTTTTTTAATTTCTTTAGTTGCTTGTTGTTACCTTATAGTGAATTTCTTATGGCTTGTACATTACTAGAATAGTTAATCCTTGTAAATCAAGCTGTCTTTGATTGAAATAATAAAGAATTTGGGACGTTTTTTTTTTCAACATGTGATCCACGTTTGGCTAAGAGTTATTATTATTATTATTATTATTATTTCACACATAATGCATAAAGACATCCCAGATTTGATGCAGAAAACTAGTGTTTTTGTTGCATTGATAATAAACTATGTTGTCTTCCAAATCCCATAATCCAAAAATCAAATTAAGTAGAAATGAATTACAAAAATTATCCTAGTTTAACAATCAATCAGTCAATTAGAAAATCTTCTGGAATTATATTCTTGATCATTGTCATTGTCATTATCCTTCTCCTTCACTTGCTCAATCCTTTCAACTGCCTCTTTTAAATCCCACCTCTTATCCACTTCTGCTTCACAGCAATTCAATCCTATCTGCAAAAGTTTCATCATTTCCCCTTCACTTTTCAGCTTTCCTCCCATATTTTTATCGAAAACCTGATCGACATTGGAGTTTGCTTCCTTAACCATGGACTCAACCCAGCTCACCAAATCCGTATCGTTTCCTTTGCTACCTTGTTGCAAGAAACTCGAAGGAAATCTTCCAGTCATGATCTCTAGAATCAACATCCCAAGGCTCCACACGTCGGTTTTCTTGGTAATCCGGCCGGTCTTGTACTCTGGCGACTTGTATGCGATCATGTGCTCCTGCGCGCGGTCTTGATTCACGACTGGAACTAATCCATAGTCGGTCAGCAAGGGGTTGAAGGATCGGTCGAGAAGAACGTTTGAGGATTTGAGGTGGCCGTGTGGTGCCACTAGGCCTGGGAGCTCATTGTAGAGGTACAAAAGACCTTTGGCTACTCCTTTGATAATATTCAAACGGGTTGGCCAATCAGGGCATGGATGCCCACGAGATGTGTTACCTGCGAGAAGACATTTATTAACACCTTATCGTTGGTCTTGAGTAGTATAGACTAAACTGCAACGTGACACGACCCATAGAAATGCGTCCTGTTAAGAGTTTTCTGAAGTTTCGATTTCCCAAACGAGTCTATAAAATTACCGTGAAGATGAACAGCAAGGTTGATATTCTCCATATAATCAGAAACCAATAGCTTCTCCTCTTTCCTGTAGTAGAAAGCCACAATGGGAAGCACATTCTGGTGACTCATCCTCCCTAATCTCCTCATATGTTCATGAAACTCTTCTTTCCCCACATTATTCATATACCTGAATCTTTTCACGACCATCACCTGTCTGGCATTCAGTGAGGCCTTGTACGTCGACCCGAATATGCCACTGCCCAGTATCTCCGCCGAGGCTTTTAGCAAATCCCCCATGTCGAATTTCTCCCTGTCATCCTGAAGAAATGTGAGCTTTGTATTGTTATTGCCCTTCTTGCCGTTTGTTCTGTGCTCAGGTGATGCTCCACCGTGTTCCATTTTGTCTAGGTCGGTTGAGTGAGCTTTCCGGTGGCCAGGAGGGGATACTGTTGCCTGTTCTTGATCCTGCATTTGCTTCCGCCGAGAGAGAATGACAACGACTGCGATGAGTGCTGCTATGGCCAAAGCCACGAGTATCACGACGATGATGATTGTTCCAATGGAAAGCTTTACCGGAGCACATGATTTGAGTGGCGCGCCGCATAGGCCTTTGTTGCCTGTTTAGGAGGGATGGAGAAGAAGTGAGGTATGCACTTAAAACAAAATTTATTCGAAAAATTGCCCCTCGAACTATACTTTCTATGACGTTTGTCTCCTAACATATAACGCTTCATACACTAAATGATATGAAAAACATAAAATCATTAGTACCTAAAAATGAGGTAGCATTCAAATGACTAAGGCCACGAGGTATTTCACCAGTCAATTCATTGTCAGATACATTGAACGATTTCAACATTCCATTCCGAAATTGAGGAATTTCTCCTTCAAACTCATTATCCTGAAGCATCAACTCCTTCAAAATAGGCAATGTGATCAATGATTGAGGAATCTCACCAGAAAATTTATTTCGTGCCAAATGAACCTTCTTGAGTGATAACATCCCGTTAAAAATGCCGATTGGGATGGCGCCGGAAAACTGATTGTCGGACAAGTAAATGGATTTCAGGGCACCGAGTTCAGTTATATTTGGCAAAGAGCCATCAAATTTGTTGTTCATCAAGCTTATAGTCCTCAAATTTTTCAATTCCTTGAGGGCATCTACATCAATCACACCTTCCAACCCCATATTCTCCAGCTTCGCTCCCCATACAGTCCCATTACCACATATAATTCCAACCCAATTCTCATTATAACCACTGCATGGAGGTTTTGTATCATTCCAATTAGACAATGCACCATTATCCTTAAGGGACTTCTTGAACTTGAGCAAGATCTCCGCATCCGATTTACACGAACACATAACAAAATGCAAGATGATGATGAAAAGTAGAACCATCAAATGGTGGAAATGTCCACACAAAATGGTGGCGTGTTGAGCCATCATAATAACATAAAGCACGAGCTATATCAGGGTGGTGGTGGTGGTGCGCGCACTTGCGAGTGCGCTCCCCCTTGAGAGGCTCCTATGAAAGAAAATAGCTTAACTGGGGTAGAGAATTGCAAGAGAATGAAATTTAAATTTTGTAGGATTGGAGGAAAAAAAGATAAGAGGTAACCAAGAACAGTGTCGTGTATGGATATTGTAAGGAATAGACATAGACAAAGGGTAAAAGATAAATTCAAATTGACGATGTCCTCTATTTTTGTGCATGGGATGTGGAAACATGCATCCATGAGAACTCTGCGCTACGCCATCCAATTAGCTCTGAAATATTTGGACTGTAGTGTAAATATATCCCTTTCTGGGGAATTTTTGGCTACCCTTATATTGGAGGAATAGGAATGTGCGTGTGTGTGTGTTCTTAGGATCAAATGTAAGAAAATTGTACTAGGAATTGTAAAATCTTAGGATTACAGGGTGGATTTGGCACTAGAGGATTAGAGGGTGTAACTCGTAAGATTAGATATAATTGACAATAACAAAATTAGAGCATTATATCAATGTATATTGGTATAACACGATCATTTGGCACCACACCTATTAGAAAACGTATAAATGTTAAAAAGAAAAACTTTTTTTTTTTATTTAAGTTTAAGAAAGTGAATTTACTTTAATGAATTTTTCTAGAAATTCACTGTCTTACTTTTAAAGTTTTTTGAAAATTAATCCTTATGTTTGTGTCAAAACAAGTATTTTAATTAACAAAATAGTTATTTATTCCAAAACTTATTTACTTTTTGTCTATAAATATGTTTGAATAATTTATTTTTCTCTTACATTTAAGTAAATAAAAAGGTACTATTTTTAAAATGTAACTTTGCGTTGCTATCAAAATAAGTAAATTATTTTTAACGTTCCTTAATATTAAAAGTTATTTATCTTGAAACTGTGTTTGATGGATATTACTGAAGAAAAAATATTTTCTAAATAGTGATATGATGTGAGCTATGTGTTTAAAAAGTAATGAAACGTTATTGATGTAATGAAATATTATTTTATTGAAGAATGTGTTATTAAAAATGAGTTATGAAATAATGTATTTCGAAAGAATGTGTACCAAACAGGAGCTCATTTACTTGTAAGCAATTTAATTAACCTTTTCTCTATTATCTATCACATAGTGAATGAATAAATTCAATCTAAAACCATCTCAAATTCATATTATTTTAATACGTAAGTATTATTTTTATCAAACATCATAAGATTGAATGAAAATAATGTTAATACAAAAATATAGAAATATGAATTGATCCTGACTAATCCATCATGTATTTGGAGATTCAGTTTCTATATAGAAAATACCAACAATAAAAGTGAATGTTCCAAGGATATAACCTCAAGGAATAAGGCAACTCTTTTTATCAAATTCTGTATATCCTGCATCAACAAGGCAAAGGCCATCCCGAGGTGCAGGTGGAGCAGTAGCACGTCTACAAGTGGCATCTATCAACTTTAGCAGTGCATCCTCTTCAGCCCCAGCAGCTGCTTCCCGAACTGCAGTTGCTGCAAGAACTCGAACCATCTGTAAACGTCCATGAGAAGCAACCACAAGATAACCAAGTCAAAAAAATATATATATACATGTTGGAGTTTCTATCTTATACAGCAATATACAGAAAATGAAATATAATTGATGTACAGCTTGCATTTTGTGAGGAGCCGTGATTCCGTGCCTAAGTCGCAATCCTTTTCCTAGGCCTTAGCTACTCTTAATGCGCACTTTAAAAAGCATTTCCATTGAAAAACTCGGGTTTTTTCTTGGCCAAAGAATCGCAATCTTACAGATAGGAAGTTTTGTTGTTTATGAGCTTAGAAATGTTTATTCATCTACTTCTTCCACAATTCGCATTATACAGTTTCAATGCAACTAAAAAATGGTGGCCCCAACATTAACACTAGGACTATGGGTTTCAATAGAGGGAAGGAGTACGAAGAAGGGGAAAAGTAAATTAATAAATTGACATTAACAAAAAGTAAACTTGAGGCAACAATACAGTTTAATATTCAATGGCACAAGCCAATTTACAGCAATGTAAGTATATATATATTTATGTGTGTGTGTGTGTATTAACTTACCAAAACCATGTAAACAATGAGCATAATAGTGTCAACTTGGTAATGAAAAAGTTGTCTAAGTCGTGATGTTCATCTAGGAGCTATCAAATACCCTCAAATCCCCAGTTGAAACTGCTTAAGAATTTTAACAAATACGTGGCATTCATTTCTCTGAAGTTCAAAATTACATCGTAGTGTCAAATATAACTAGAAAGTATTCAAATTTTTCTCGTAAGAATATCAGTTGAAGTAACTACCTTGCGCGGGAAACGGTTAGCAACCAACTCAATGCACATCATCTTCACACAGGTCCCATCCTTCTATACATGCAAAAACTTCATGAGAAAGAAAATGAACTGAAAGAGATTCTGAAATTTGAAGAACATTTTATTGCTATGTAAATGTTACTGTCCTTTAAATAAGCCATTTAATTTCACTTGATTGCATGACCAACTTGGCTCTCTCTAACAAATCCCATAATCCCAGATTTGTAAGTCGGCCTCAAAAGTACATTCTTGCATTGCGAAACTTTTTATTTTAAATCCAAAAAACCTCTAATGATCCCTTCACTTTCTCCTAGCACATCTTCAATTAACTTTAGACGAAGCCCATGGAAAAATCAAAATTCAGTCAGAATATTTAGCTACAAAATATGTTAAATTCTCTGTGGTCTAGTCTTAAGAAGATAGATACTTGGGCAGGAAATTAGCTGGTCATTTTTTAGGACAATTTCTAATATTAATGCAGGGGCATTTCCGCAATTCCTTCAAATACAAAAACTTTCAACAGATAAGGTTTATTAATGCCTGAAGGAAACTCAATTCCACGTAACAATTAAGTGTGGAAACAATGAACTCACAAGATTAACATTTAAAGTATTAATATCAAGAATGAACAAAATCTTAAAACAAACCCCAAAAAGAAAGAACAGTTTCTTCTTCTTTCATATTATTTCATTCTTAACGTAGTTTAATGAACTCTTTCACCTTTAGATCTCCAGGTCTTGCTTCAGCCACCTATTTTCTTATTAAAGCTCATTCACTCCCAGTCACATGTTGCAAACCACATAATGAATCATCTTGCTTCCTATTTTGGGCTGAATGAAATCCCAAAGTTTTCCAAAATTACTCATCTCAACTGTTTCTAATGAATATTATTGTCTTGACTCATGCATCCATCACAACCTGTTAAAGAAAATTACTGAATAAGGATATTTTTCCCTGCGCAATGTTCCATCAAATCTGTAATATGCCCCCACCATATTTTCAGTACAGTACAACCCCTATAGTTCCCTGCCAACTCCATTCTTCTTCAACTTTTTCAATCACTAGAATTTATGTTATTCGTAATTCTGTCTGATGATACATAGGCCATAACATGTTGGGTTAAACTTGGAGCATGTTTCATAAATAGTTTGTTAATATAGTTACCAATTACTGGTGACAACACTTACATCCACATCCATAGTAAAAATTTTAGTCTTTTAGCAGACTAGGGGTAGGAATAGGATTTCTAAACTCAAAGCATTCATAATTAGGGGATAAATTCAAGTCATTATGGATCCCTTTTTGTTGTGATAATAAATCCGAAATCCAACTTATGAAGGACATTATTGGCAGCTACTTCTATTCATTCTCTTTTCTTCATATTTTTCTAACAACATTACTAATAACGAAATCCAACTTATGAAGGACATTTTTGGCAGCTACTTCTATTCATTCTCTTTTCTTCATATTTTTCTTACAACATTTCTAATACACCAGGAGCTTGTTTGGTAGAGATTAAAAATGAATTAAAATTGAAAAATTAGCCGTTATTGTTGACTTTTATTAGACGAGTGAGACTTATATTTTCAATTTTAATTGAATTAAAATTCCTCCCAAACAAGCTCCAGATAAGTATCTGATATTGACGTCATCCTATTTTATTTATCAAGCCGAACGCTAACTTTTACTAAAGGTGTGGTTGAGCCACATTATTTTGGAAGAATATATTTTGGAATAGTAGATTGATAGAGAATGTGTGATTGAAAAAGAAGGAAAAATTATTGATGTGATGGAAAATATTATTTTATTGAAGAATGTGTGGTTAAAATGAATAAAAGAATAATAATGAGAATTTAATGTGCCTCAAATGTGAGCTGCACTTTAACCCTTCCTTTTGGAGTGATAAGTTCTTACATTCACTTCGGCACCATTTACCTATCAACAATTTAATGAATTTAGGGTGTGTTTGAGCCACATTATTTTGGAAGAATGTATTTTGGAATAGTAGATTGATAGAGAATGTGTGATTGAAAAAGAAGGAAAAGTTATTGATGTGATGGAAAATATTATTTTATTGAAGAATGTTTGGTTGAAAATGAGCAGAAGAATGAGAATGAAAATTTTAATGTGGCTCAAAACAGGAGCTAAATCCTAAACATAGTATCGTAAAAGAAGAACGAATAAGAAGTAACTCATGCTCAAGGCAATGCAATTTTAAAAAGCAAGCTAAGTATTGATAGGCAACCTCTGCACAAGGTAATAAGATTTCTGCAGCCCGGGCATGGAAGACAAAGCTCTCCGTTGGTGGACCACTGCAATGATTAAAAAGTGTGGTTAGAAAGTGAATAGCCAAATTCACTAAAGTCAAATTGTGTAAAAGCCAATTTCACTTTGTTTTAGCTTTCTATCCATTGATAACCGCATGCTGTGGTCATCATATCCAGCTGAGGCCACTGTTGATATCTAGATGCCTTAGCCAACTGACACTAGGCCACATCAAAGAAAATGCAAGTGGCTAAGCTAGAGCTAAAATGTAAGACATGTTTACACAAGTTAAAAAAGTCTCTACAAACAGTAGAATTGAATTATACTGAGAGATGAAAAACCAGGCTTACATCTAATGTGTATACCCTTGGGCCCTAGGCCATTGGCATAACACCTGGTAGAGAGTGACCCAATCTTGAGTGAAATAAATAAACCAACTCCGACCAATTTTATAAAACTTATTTTGCAATAACTCAGCAAAGCCAAATCAACGTCTTTTCCATTCATTTTTACCTACGAGGGTCCCAGTCAATATGTACCAGACATACATAACACTTCGACTAGTACAAGAAAGTATGAGTGTATTTCAAGCCAAAGTCATTTTAGAACATGCCACCAGGGAGAAGATAGTCAATGATTGGTGTATACCCTACTGTAACTGTAAGTGACGTAGCCAGATGTGCATGTCCCAATGGGCATGCAATGATTTAACCCTGTAAAAGAATTCCAGTCAGAAGCTTCAATTGACACACTGACAAAAGACTATATACGAAATACAATAAACACCTGACCACATATAGATTCACTTATTTCCTTCTAGTCTATGACCTCAGATGCAGTTGGCCAATCAGAATTGCGATGACAAATAAAATGATTGGTGTTTGCCAACTATAAAACAATCCAGAGATCTCAGTCTTACATGTTTCGCGAGGCTTTAGTATCTCGTGCAAACATCCTGTAGAATAGTAATTTTCCTTCCAATTGATGTAGAAGATGGTTAGCACTGCTTACATGAAAACTAGTCGGTTTATTTCCTGTCTCTTCTTCATCCTCGTCATCAAAATCAACTACATTTCCACTCCTAGACTCATTAATACATCTATCACTGTGCCATGTCAACAAACTGCATTATCCACAATATTCTTCTTACACTGACAGGTGTGGAACCCCTCAGTTTCATCATTGAAAGGCAAAATATATAAACAGCATCTCTACTTTGGAGAGAAATTAGGATGAAATTCCCGAGATACCTAGAACAAATTAGGTTCCCTTTAGTATGTTGTAGAAACAACTGCCAGAAGAAATCATGTTTTTATAGTGCTTTTTAAGTAAATGACTATAGAATTCATAAATTTTAACTATTATCTGAGAAATAACTAGAGCGATGCTACCTTAGAAACAGGAACTACCTTTATTTTCCCAGGTGCTGCACCCATAGTTTGAAAAAAGGTAAATGGCTATCGAGGCGTTTTTTTGTTATGAGGCGAGGAGTAAGGCTCAAAACGTTTTGAGGCGTAAGCCTCACCGCAAACAAAACAGGTGCAATCTGCCGAACAAAATAGGTGCAATCTGGTGGCGATGCACTGAACAAAAAAAACCAAGTAAAGTCTAGTGAAACAATTTTAAATTGTAAGTCACTAGAAGGAGGCAGAAGCAAAGGAGAAAAGAGACATAGAAGCAACACTTGAGGACCTCTTTTAAGCGAAGGATTGAAGATAAGTTTTTTGGTTGTCGTTTAGTTCTGGGAAGATTTCTGACTGCCGTGTAGTTCTCGCCATCTAGGAAGATTTCTGTCTGCNACATACTTCAAATGAGGCGCACGGCTCATTTTTTTTTGCCTTAGATGTAGAGGCGTGTGCCTCATTTTTTGTGCCTCACAGATTGAGTCTCGAAGTACAGAAGCTGCGCCTCACAGTGAGGCGAGCATCAAGGCGGGCCTCAGTAGGGTTTTTTCATACCATGGTTGTCACTTAGTCCTTTTTATAGTTAGTAAGAACTAGCTATCTATCTTTACCTGAATTTATTTGCTAACTATTACCAATCCTTGATTTACTGAAGCAATTGTTTTCCTCTAGTACAAGTTATTTAGCAGGCTGCAATCTGGCAGATTACCTTGAGAAGTTTCGGCCAGGAAGGTTATGGTAGAGAATATTTAGATGTGCCACTGGTATTTTCTGATATAAAATTTAGAGTAGGAACAAGGTGCTGAATTCATCCGTTTACATTGGTGCTCTCAAATAGATTGACGAAGCATGTCATGTCTATAAATTGTTTATAAACACTCAAAGCCACTTTTTAATCTCGCATTTCGAGGGATCCGCAAGTACTACCCACTTATCCACCATTCATTTTATCTATTTATAATTTAAACCGTTAATAAACACTTCCCAAACATGATTTAAGATTCTGATCAAAACCTCATAAAGGAAATATGAATCTCGTATAGCCTCTGGGATAAAATTCAGCACTACACTGCAAATACTGCAGTCTCATATTTCAAGCAACTAATAATCTTTCATATGGGTGACTTTCCATCTCATTTTAATATAGAATTGCGTCATTCCATGTCTATAGTTTAATATAGACGCTGAGACCATCTCCTCCTTGAAACTCGTAGTTATAGTAAAAGTTGAGGATACAAAAAAGAAAAAAATGATGGAAGATAAGAAAATCAATAACCCTTTCAAGCACTTATCATATTTGCTTAAAATACAACGATTCACTTAAAATTGCATATCTGCAGCATTTGTTACTTGTTAGGACAATGAACAAGTGCACAAAGCATTTTTCACTTATTTCAAAGAAATCAATGATGCCAACAAATTATCACATAACCTCGTCGACATCAATGCTCTTATTTTATAGAAATAAGCAATCAGAAAGTAGAGAATTAGGCTTCTTAATCAAATCAACAAACTGGATATCAAAAGAATAGAAAAACACAAAATTGAGTGGACATCCAAAAACGAGAAATATTACTAAACACCCACCTCCTTTCCAAACAATTCTGGCAGTGACGTGCGGCCTTTCACCATGTCTAAGTAAAAATCATTAACTTTTCCCCATGGCCTTGCGGACATGAACTGATAACATTCCGTGCCAAAAGCAAATTCACTATATTTGAGCACTAGAACACTTTAAAAACACACACTGTATGCTTATGCCTACAACTCAGAAAGTCTAGCTGAATCGACCAACATCATGCAAACCTAATGGCACCCCCACCAAGTCACCCAAAAATTAATCTGGGCGACCCCTATAAATTGAACATTAAAAGGTTGCTAATTGAGTCGACACACATAGGAAACTCCCTTAACCACTTTTCCCTTTTCTAGAAAGGGTACTGAATTCAAATCCCAAATTTAACAACTTAGAAATCAAAAGAACCACAAAAAAATAAAAAATAAAAATAGGTTCTGGAGTTTAGTATGGATAAATTTACTTGGTAGTCCATCGAGAGAGCCTGCAAGCATCAGTGTGGTTGTAGGGAGTGTAATCCCTTCTTCTGCAGAGCCTGGGTTTCCATCAGATTGCCCGGGCTCAGCCACACCACTCTTGGGTACTTTATCATAACCTGAATTTTCGACACTGTTGTGAAGGAAACTGAGAGCGGGCAAAATTGAAATTCAGAATCAATTGATTGGCTTTATATTTAGGCCCCGTTTGGCACCCATTTTTTTCCATTACATCATATTAATTTTTTTCTCTTCATTTCAATCACACATTCATCAAATAAAATAATATTACACACAAATCTAAAATTTTTCATTACTTTTCTACCACACATTCTCTCATCAATCACTATTCCAAAAATTTTCAACACTCCAAAATGGGGGCCAAATAGAGGCTAAAAAATTATGAATTCATAGGAAATAAGGCAAAATTATGAGTTAAATGTTTCATTAGCCAAGCCACTGAACTTTGGGACATATGACGACTTACTCATCGAACGTTCAAACTTTTTCCCTTGGCGATTGTACTTTGATCCGTTACTGTCCCTTACTCACTGGCTCAAAATTGTTAATTGACGTGCCTATGTGGCACTCGAAAAGTTTGTCCGGTCGATTAAATCCTTACAAGTATAAAATGTTTTGCCAAATCATCGACCACGTCAACATATTAAAATCGTATTTTGCTAATTTCATACACGCTTCATAAAAACCCCAAATTTTCCCAACTTCCTCCCAAATTTGATAGTGCTAAGAAGCTGTATGATTGAATTTAACTATCTTCAAATGGGTTTTCTCTCCCTCAATATGTAATTTCAACTTCTTTTAGTTTGATGGGTCTCTTTTTGATTTCTATGGTTTATTGATGTTGCAATGGTATCTAGTAGTAGTGGTGGTGTGAGGATGAGTGAATTTGCGGTTCAGGTCATGGATCGACAGCCTGGGGAGCTATATAGTGATGGGTCTGATGAGGCTATTGATTTGAAATCTCGGATTACTATAGAGAGTGAGGTTAAGACTTTAGAAAATGGAAAACAATCATTGCCTGTCCAAAATAAGAAGCAAAAGTTTTCTCCAATTGTTTAGGATAGAGATGACAGGGAATTGAGTAGAGCATTCGATAATACGAATGTTTCTGATACTACTAATTTACCATCTTCACCTCCTGTGGTCAATTCAAATTGTTAATCATCCGCCCCTTCTCCGGATGAGTCTGTACAAATTTCACCCAAGCAAGAATGCAAGGTTTAGAATTCTAAAGCATCACTTCCTGAGATTGATTTAGTGCTAGAGGTGTTGGAAGTTCCTTTTGAAACATCTTCATTTTCTCCTGATGAAGAGTGTCCTGGTTGTGAATGGTTTCTATTATGTAATTGTTTAAATAATTACATACAAATGTCCCGTTTGACTTGGCAGACCATGTTTGCATAGCTTAATCCCATTTTGTTCAAACTATTGTCTTTGTCTTTATTTTCTTTCATTGTTATTTCTGATGTGAAAGAAATACAATACATGAATTTAATGCTAGCTTCTAACGTGGTTCAATTGCATGACAGATTGTGAGGAAGATCCAGACTTCTTAGAATCCGACCATGATTTTGAGCCTGAGGATGGTGGCATTGACCATGATAGAAATGCAACCGATGGGATTAAAATTGGATTTGACGGTCATGACGAAGAAGTACAGGAAGAATGAGAAGAAGGCAATGAGAACGAGTTAGATGAATTAGAACTATCGTCGTCAGAGGATCTACTCTTCCAATGTTCGTCTGATGAGGACGACAGTTATCATTTTCTCGAATTCACTTTTGATCAGGACATGGCAAATCCTCAGTTCGAGATAGGACAAATATTCAGTTCCGCATTAGAGTTCGGGAAGGCTGTGCGAGCGTATGATGCATTGAATGGGTACAACATAAAATTTAAGGCAAACGAGGAAAGAAGAGTGCAAGGAATTTGTAAATTGGGTTGCAAATGGCGAATACGGGCATCTAAATTTGATGCATTTGAGAGGTTGCAAGTAAAATCTTACACTTCGAAGCATACCTGTAGTCGAGACCAATTTAATAGACACTGTAATTACATATTCTTGACATGTCGATATATTGAGCAATTCAAGGCGGACCCGGACTCGAAGACTGAGCTTATTTTGGCAACAGTGAAGAAAGATCTCCGTACAAATATCAGCAGAAACGTAGCATGGAAGATGCGGAGATATGCAAAAGAACTTTTAGTAGGGAATTTGCAAGGGCAGTTTAAGCTATTGAGGTCTTATGCAGCCGAGGTACTCCGTACGAATGTTGGTTAGACAGTCATTATTACATTACATGATCAGATATTTCAAGGGATCTACATATGCTTCAATTGTTGTAAGATAGGTTTTAGAGATGGTTGTAGGAAGGTAGTAGGTGTTGACGATTGTCACTTAAGGGGTTGTTTCGGAGGGATAATGTTAACTGCAGTTGGTATTGATGCTAATGACTGCATCTATCCCTTTGCCTATGCAATTGTTCAAAAAGAAAATATAGCAGCTTCGCGATGGTTCCTGACCTATCTCTCAGAGGATATTAGGATTGGAGATGGAAGAGGTTGGACTCTAATGACCGACAGACATAAGGGGCTACAAAATGTGATAAACAAGTTGTTCTCTATGGTTGAGCATAGGTTCTATGTACCACATATGTACACGAACTTCTTTAGTGCTGAGTTTAAAAGTAAAATTCTAAAGAATTACTTATGGCGTGTTGCCAATCGACCAATGTTGCTGACTATCAACATTGGATATAACAAATTCGTTAACTTAGCGATGAGGCATACAAATGGCTTATAGAGAGGAACCCTTAAGAATGGAGTAAATCACATTTCTCAGTTAAATCGAAGAGTGACATTCTACTTAACAATCTATGTGAAGTGTTCAACAAGACATTGCGGTCTGATAGAGAAAAGATGATTCTGTCGCTGTTTACTTCACTACAATTAACCTTCGTGAACATGATTCGAAAGCGTCGAGGCATGATGATGAGGTGTGCAGGATGTTTGTGTCCGAAGATCAGTAAGAAATTGCACAAGATTGCTAAGAAATCGTGTGAATGCATATTGCACTTTTCTGGTTGTCCGAAATGGCAAGTTGAATGCAGCTTCGGGACATATATTGTCAATCTAGAGGACATAACTTGTGCATGTAGAGAATGGGAACTTACAGGTATACATTGCATGCATGTAGTGGCAGTAATTAGGGAATGCAGAAATGATCCGGAAGACTTCGTTCACAACTACTACACGATAGAGGCGTATATGAGGTGCCACCTTCTATTGCTAGATCCCCAGTCGCATCACCAACTGCATCCCCTCCACCAAGGTCCCCAGTAGTACCACCACCAAAATACCCAATTGTCAAAACTTCAGTTCTGAAGTTCGTCGTCTACGAACAGATTATAAAACCAGTGAATTACACAACTTGAGAATAACATAAATGGTTGAGTTTCACAGAGCTCCTCCATTTTGCTTCTCGCTATCCTTCTATCCTTTTCCTTTGTGGAAAGTAAATTTGACAAAGATATCTACGTCATTTTCTTCGGTTATTTTAGTAACATGGTTCAACAAACCCGACAACTCGTGAATTTCCGATGTAGTAATTGACTGACCCTCATATTGATAATATTCGTCTTCGTTGAGCCACTTGAAATGAGTGCAATCGTTAGTACAACAGAAGAACAATCGTCCTAAGTTTTCAATCCTCTTTTCAACCTCCATGCATTTTTGAATTCCCTTGTAGCATATTAGGCACGGTTTCTTCGTTAGACAATCTAACAAGTAGTGGCCCGACTTCCTACAACCATGACAAATCCATTTGTTCTTTCCCTCCATTATAATATGATGATGCAGCTAAAAAATGAAAATAAAATCAGATCAAAATCATATTTATTCCAACTAGTAAATGGGCGATCATCAGTAAATGTACAAATGTTGTCTCTCACTTTTACTTGACTAAACATCACCAGCAAAGCCAAGAAATCGGTGAAGGTGCAAATGAATTATATCAACATGTTCTACAATTTATTCCATGGTTAATTAATGACTGAAATAAAATAGATGTTGCTTCCTAAGTGCATAACTGGTAAAATCATTGAAACACATTAGCATTATTCCATCTTCTCCTACACATCTGGAAAAGTACATAACAAAAGATCATACCAAATTGTCAGATGGAATCTGAAGATTGATATTTGAATGAACCCAGCCTATCTGTATCGCTTACAAGGAGACAGTTCAGTGACATATGCTGACCTATGATTCAATATAGCTCCACTTGTTTCGATTATAAAAAACAATACACTTATGTTTCTAACAAGTTTTGTTTGAGTTTTTCATGGATATTTCTTCTTAAACATTTAAAGACTTAAATCATCATCCATTGAAGAACAAGCAATCAAATGAAACTGGAAGAGAACAAGAACAAGAACTTTGAAGATTAAAACTTGAAAGTAGTTTATCGGAACTTAAATGTAAAAGTATTAACTCATCGATTCTTAGCAAGTTCATAAAGCTCAAATTATTTCATAACACATCACTTGCATAAAAATGCTTTTCATTCATAATATGAAATAGATTTTGAAAATGCAACTAAAAAA